TATAGATTTGTCTATTCTGGATGTTTCTTGTAAATGGAACCATACAATATGTGGTCTTCTGTCTTTTACTTAGTCGGTTTTTGAGGTTTGTTCATGTTGTAGCTTCTGTCAGTAGGAACCTCATTTGTTTTTGTTGCTGATTTGGTATTTCATTGTATGGCTGTGCTGTGTTTTGTTTATCCATCTGTTGATGTATGTTTGGTCTTCCACTCCTTGGAAATTATGAATAATGCTGCTTTGAACAAGTTATTGTGAAGATATGTTTTCATTTCTCTTAAGTAGTTAGATAGGAGTAGAATTGCTTTCACCTTGTTTTTTTGAGACAGGGTCTCACTCAGTCACCCATCATAGCTCATTGTAACCTTGCACTTCTGGGCACAAGTGATCCTTCCATCTTAGCCTCCAGCCTCCTGAGTAGCTGGGATTACAGGTGCATACCACCATGTTTGGCTATCCTCATTTTTGGAGAATATTTTTGTTGGGTATAGAATTCAGGATTGAATTTTTTTTTTCTTTCTTTTCTGAGACAGGGTCTTACTTTGTCACCCAGGCCGGAGTGGTATGATCTTGGCTCACTGTAACATCCACCTCCTGGGTTCAAGTGATTCTCATACCTCAGCCTCCCAAGTAGCTGGATCTACAGGCAAGCACCATCATGCCCAATTAATTTTTGTATTTGTAGTGGAGATGTAGAGATGGGGTTTCTCCATGTTGGCCAGGCTAGTCTTGAACTCCTGGCCTCAAGCATTCTGCCCACCTCAGTGTCCAAAGTGTTGGGATTACAGGCGTGAGCCACCGCACCTGGTCTGATTTTTTTTTTTTTCTTAAAGCATTATTAACAATGTCATTCCTCTCTTTTCTGGCTTCCATTGTTCTGATTACAAGTCAGCCATCATTTGTATTGTTCTATCTCTGTATATGTTGTATTTATTTTTTTTCTCCATAAAGTTGTTTCAAGAGTTTCTCTTTATCTCTGCTTTTCAGCAGTTTGATTATGATGTTTTCTTTGTATTTATCCTCCTTAGAGTTTGCCAAGTTTTTTAGATTTGTAAGTTAATATTTTTCACTAAATTTGAGAAATTTTCATCTGTTTTTCTTTTTTTTTTGAGGCAGAGTTTCATTCTTGTTTTCCAGGCTAGAGTGCAGTGAATGGTGTGATCTCAGTTCACTGCAACCTCTGCCCCCCAGGTTCAAGTGATTGTCCTGCCTCAGCCTCCCAAGTAGCTGGGATTACAGGCATGCGCCACCACACCTGGCTGATTTTGTATTTTTAGCGTGACAGGTTTCACCATGTTGGCCAGACTGGTCTTGAACTCCTGACCTCAGGTGATCCCAGCCAACTAAAGTGCTGGGATTACAGGCATGAGCCACCACACCCAGAGCATCTGTTATTTTTTCACAACTTTTTTTCTTTCTCATTCTGTCTCTTCTTCTTCTGGGACTTTAATTACATGTATTTTAGATCACTTAGTATTGTTCCTCAAGTCTCTACACTAGATAATTTCTTTTGATGTTTCAGTTTATTGTTCCTTTCTTCTACTGTCTCAATCTTCAATTAAGTTCGTTTAGTTAATTTTTAAACTCAAACATTGTAATTTGCAGCTCTAGAATTTCCATTTGAATCTTTTTACATTTTAATTTGTTTTTTAGAAACAGGGTCTCACCATGTTGTCTGGGCTGGGCATGAAGTCCTGGCCTCAAGCAGTCTCCCTGTCTCAGCCTTCTAAGTAACTGGGATTGCAGATGCAAGCCATCATATTGGCTGCTGATTCTTTTTTTAAAAAATAGTTTCCTTTTCACTGCTAAGATGCCACACTGGTTCTGTTATTTTGACCATGTTTTCCTTTAAGTCCTTGAGTATGATTACTATAATGGGTGCTTTGAAGTCCTTGTCTGCTGATTTCAATATGTGAGTCATTTTGGGTTTATTTCTATTGACTGTTCTTTTTCCTCCTTAAAAATAGAACACATTTTCCCGCTTCTTTGCATGTCTAGTAGTTTTTTTAGTATATATTGGACATTGTGAATAATATGAATTGATTTAGTTATCTTCATCTGAAAAGTGTTGCTTTTTGTTGTAACAGGCAGTTAAAATATTGGCTGATTACCTTAAAATTGTGGAGACTTGGTTTTATATTTTGTTAGGATATGTCCCTACAGTGTTTACTGATCCTCCCTGACCTGGTGGAACTCAAATTCTAAAATGTCTCTCTTATATTTAAGTGTTTGGGGCTCTCTTTGTGACTTACTCCTTTTGAAGATTTTCCCCCTCAATTTCCAGCTGCTCTGGTGGTACTGAACTCCATCTTCTGGCATCTCAAGCCAAGAGAACTGTGGCTTTTTGCTTGCATTTTAGCTGCTTTGTTCCAAGGGGACTCCCTGGGCTGGTAGTGGGAGGTTAAAGGGGTTCCTCAGGGGAACAGCTGATCTCACTTACTGTGTTTTCTTTCTTTTTTTTTCTTTTTTTAGATGGAGTTTTGCTCTGTTGCCCAGGCTGGAATGCAGTGGTGCAATCTAGGCTCACTGCAACCTCCGCCTCCCGGGATCAAACGATTCTATCTCAGCCTCCAGACTAGCTGGGATGACAGGCGCACACCACCACACCCGGCTGAATTTTTTTGTTTGCTTTTTTTTTTGAGACGGAGTTTTCGCTCTTGTTACCCAGGCTGGAGTGCAATGGCGCGATCTCGGCTCACTGCAACCTCCGCCTCCTGGGTTCAAGCAATTCTCCTGCCTCGGCCTCCTGAATAGCTGGGACTACAGGCACGTGCCACCATGCCCAGCTAATTTTTTGTATCTTTAGTAGAGACGGGGTTTCACCGTGTTGACCAGGATGGTCTTGATCTCTCGACCTTGTGATCCACCCACCTCGGCCTCCCAAAGTGCTGGGATTACAGGCTTGAGCCACCGTGCCCGGCCTGCTTTTGTTTTTTGAGACGGAGTCTCACTTTGTCACCCAGGCTGAAGTGCAGTGGCACAATCTTGGCTCACTGCCACCTTTGCCTCCTGTGTTCAAATGCTTCTCCTGCCTCAGTTTTTTGTATTTTTAGTAGAGATGGGGTTTCACCATGTTGGCCAGGCTGGTCACAAACTCCTCACTTCAAGTGATCCACCCACCTCAGCCTCCCAAAGTGCTGGGAGTACAGGCCTGAGCCACCACGCGCCCAGCTGTGTTTTCTTTCTTTCTTTCTTTCTTTTTTTTGTTGAGGCGGGGTTTTGCTCTTGTCGCCCAGGCTAGAGTGCAATGGCACGATCTCAGCCCACTGCAGTCTTCACCTCCTAGATTCAACTGGTTCTCCTGCCTCAGATTTTTGTATTATTAGTAGAGATGGGATTTCACCGTGTTGGCCATGCTACTCTCGAACTCTTGACCTCAGCTGATTCACCTGCCTCGGCCTCCCAAAGTGCTGGGATTGTAGGCATGAGCCACCGTGCCCAGCCGTGTTTTCTTTCTTACAAGGGTGAAGTTTCCTCCAATTTCTGCTTGCTTTTCAGCCCTCTCCAGTGCTTTCAAATGGTTTTTTTTTCTTTCTAGGATTTATGGTTGCCTTTAAACATTTCATCTGGACACAGTATCTTTATGTTTTTAAAATAGTATGTTACACTCTTATAGTTATTTAGGCACATGGTTTTTCTCCTTCTAGTTATATATTACATTACATGAATCTATGTATTACAGATTAACGCCAAGACCCTGTGGCTCAAAACAGTCATTTTATTGTTTATTAGATTTTATGGGTCAGGAATTTGGAAGGAGCACAGCCAGGATGATGTAACTCTGTTCTATGTATCTGGTGCCTTACCTGGGAAGGCTCAAACTTTGGGGGAGATGCTATAGCTGCATAGCAGTCACCTAAGAGTGTCTTTACTCACGTGTCTGGCAATTAATGCTAGCTGTTGGCTGGGACCTCAAGTGGAACTGTGGGACAGAACACCTATAAATGGTCTCCTCACAGCATGGTAGCCCAAGCATTAGTGTTCCAGAGACCCAGGCAGATGCTCCATTGCCTTCTGTGACCTGATCTTGGAAGTTGCATGGCAGAAGTTACATAGCATCACTCTGTACTGGTCAGCTAGTCTTTATTGTTGACCCAAATTCAAGGGTATGACATAAATCTACCTCTCAATGGAAGCAGCATCAAATATTTTAGACATGTTTATTTCATTTATTTATTTTTGTGACAGAGTCTTGCTCTGTTGCCCAGGTTGGAGTGAAGTGGCATGATCTTGGCTCACTGCAATCTCTGCCTTCCAGATTCAAGCAATTCTTGTGCCTCAGCCTCCTGTCTCTACTAAAAATACATGTGTCATCATGTATTTTTAGTAGAGACAGGGTTTCATTATATTCGCCAGGCTGGTCTCGAACTCCTGGCCTCAAGTAATGTGCCCACTTCAGCCTCCCAAAGTGCTGAGATTACAGGCATGAGCCACCGTGCCTAGCTCGTAGACGTGTTTTAAAACCATGGTGTTCATTTATCAAATAGCAGCCTCCCCCATGTGTCCTAGCATAGTCCTATATACATCTCAATTAGGTACTTGTTGAAGTATTGAATTTTTCTTTTCTTTCTTTTTTTTTTTTTTTTTTTTAGAGACGGAGTTTTCGCTCTTGTTACCCAGGCTGGAGTGCAATGGCACAATCTCGGCCCACCGCAACCTCTGCCTCCTGGGTTCAGGCAATTCTCCTGCTCAGCCTCCTGAGTAGCTGGGATTATAGGCACGCGCCACCATGCCCACCTAATTTTTTGTATTTCTAGTAGAGACGGGGTTTCACCATGTTGACCAGGATGATCTCGATCTCGACCTCGTGATCCACCTGCCTCGGCCTCCCAAAGTGCTGGGATTACAGGCTTGAGCCACCACGCCTGGCCTGAATTTTTCTTAACTACAGTAGAATAGGACCTAAAGTAAAGTTGTGTATAAAGCTTTAAGAAAGGAGTAAGATATTAGACTGTTAGAAAACATTTTCTTAGGTTGATTAGCTTTTGTCTCTCTGTTTGTAGGATACAGCATTTAATGAAAAATTTATGCTTAAGAAGTAAAAATGGCAGGCTTCCTAGATAATTTTCGTTGGCCAGAATGTGAATGTATTGACTGGAGTGAGAGAAGAAATGCTGTGGCGTCTGTTGTAGCAGGTATATTGGTAAGTGAGAAAGACTGGTTGGTGACATTTATGCCTTATCTTTTGCTCTGGAAATTAATGTTGATTTCTTTGAACTGAGAATGGCTTTCCAGAACTATTTATTTCACTACTGTTTTGTATAGATAATTATCAGAGTTCTAGATACTATTGCCGAACAGAATATGGTAGGCCCTGGATTCATTTTGACTTTGTAAACGTATATTTAATATCTTTTCCTCAGTTCCAGTGATAATATAATTATTATAGGCAATGGCATTTTAAACTTAGTGATACAATATGTGATACAGTTTTGCATGCAGTACTTTAAGATCCTTAAATCCTCAGAATTTGATGTAACCCAAAATTATTGTTGTGACTTATTGAAGGTTAGACAACAGTGATGGTACTCTGCAGTTAATGGTAACAACCTTTGGCTACATTAGAACCGAAGCCCTGCAGCAACTTTAGGGAAGAAATGCCATCTCTGTTTCCTCAGCTGCAACACTGGCGAACATAAGAGGAAGACATTTGTGAAGGAAACTGTTGTTTAATTTTCTTTCCACAATTTTTAAAACTTTTTACTATTAAAAATGACAAGCATAAAACAAAAAGAGAGAATGATATAAAGGTTCCATCTCCTCTTTTATTCCATGTACCTATCATCCAGCTTTAAAAAAAAAACAAAAAAAAACACCCAAAATCAGGACCTATCTTGCTTTATAATTCCATCAACCACTCCCTGTCCGCACTGCTTTTTTTTTTTTTTTTTTTTTTTTTTAAGAGATGAGGTCTTTCTTGCTATGTTGTCCAGACTGGAATACAGTGGCTGTTTACAGGTGTGATTACAGTGTACTACAGCTTCAAATTCATGGCCTCAAGCAATCTTCCTGGTTCAGTCTCCCAACTAGCTGGGACTACAGATTCACACTACCATTCCTGGCTCCCACTGTGTTTTTTGGAAGCAAATTTCTTTATCTGTTTATATTTTAAAAATTCATCTCTTTCAGTGTACAGTTCTACACCCAAAGTCCAATAGAAAAACAAAATGAAATAAAGCAGAGCAAGAACTAATGATCATGGTGAAGCAATCTGCTCACTGCAGCCTCTGCCTCTGACTTCCCAGGTTTAAGCAATTCTTGTGCCTAAACATCCCAAGTAGCTGGGAGCCCAGCTAATTTTTGTATTTGTATTTGAAGTTTTTTGAGACAAGTCTCTTTCTGTCGCCCAGGCTGGAGTGCAGTGGCATGATCTCAGCTCACTGCAGCCTCCGCCTCCCAGGTTCAAGCAATTTTCCTGTCTCAGCCTCCTGAGCAGCTGGGATTACAGGAACCCACCGCCCCACACAGCTAATTTTTGTATGTTTAGTAGACTCTCCAACTCCTGGCCTCAGGTGAGCCATTCTGCCTGGCCTTGTATTTTTAGTAGACATGAAGTTTCGACATATTGGCCAGGCCGATCTCAAACTCCTGACATCAAGTAATCCACCCGCCTTGGCCTCCCAAAGTGCTAGGATTACAGGTGTGAGCCACTGGTGCCTGGCCTGCATGCAGAATTCTTTTTAATGTTTGTAAGTTTTTCCTGCTCTTTATGGTCATTTACCTGTACTTATTTGTCTAAGAAATTATTTAGCAACTTGTCTACTTTGTTTGTTCAGCTTAATTTACATAGAAACATTGCATTCTACAAACTCATGTTCAGTTATACAATATTTAATTAAATTACATAATTAAAACTAGCAGGCTTAAGTAGTTTTGGAGACTTGATAACTGAGTCTTGGTAAGAATACAACTCATTTGTGGGAGCAAAAGTGCTTGGGCATATTAAAAGGAATGTTCTCTAGAAGGAATGGAACACATCAGGTCATTAGGGAGTCGGTTATGTTGGAGGTTAGTAAAGAGAGTTTCTACTGCATGTAGCAATGGTGGATGAAAGAAGCAGATAATCCATTTCCAAATAATACGTATGTCTGTGTGCACTGAGAGTAGAACTTCAGAATCTTATATAGATTTGAGTAGTGATGTTCACCTCATCTGCTATAAAGCATAAGGGTAAGATGGCTCATGCCTGTAATCCTAGTGCTTTGGGAGACTGAGGTAGGAGGATCACTTGAGACCAGGAGTTTGAGACCAGCTTGGACAGCATAATGGGACCCTGTCTCGACAAAAAAAAAAAAAAAAAAAGATTTTAAATGAGCCAGAGTGTTGGCATGAGCCTGTAATCCTAGTTGCTCAGGAGACTCAGGTGAGAGGATTGCTTGAGTCCAGGAGTTTGAGGTTGCAGTTAGTTTAAGTTCGCACCACTGCATTCCAGCCTGGCTACAGAGGGAGACCCGGTCTCTTAAAAAACAAAACAATAAACAGTAAATAAACAAAGGATTCTTATTTTTTACATTTTAGCATCCATATTTCAAAGTAGAAATATTTGAGTTTTATGTGATTTTTTTTTTTTTTTGAGACAGAGTCTCGCTCTGTCACCCAAGCTGGAGTGGAGTGGCACAATGTTGGCCCACTGCAGCCTTCGCCTCCCGGGTTCAAGTGATTCTCCTGCCTCAGCCTCCCCAGTAGCTGGGACTACAGGCACACTCCACCATGCCTGGCTAGTTTTTGTGTTTTTAGTAGAGACAGGGTTTCACCGTGATGTCCAGGCTGGTCTCGAATTCCTGACCTCAGTTGATTCACCTGTGTCGGCTCCCAAAGTGCTGGGATTATAGGCATGAGCCTCTGGCCCTGGCCCATTTATATGATCTGTAGGACAAAAGGAATGTTAAAAAGCAGGTATTATGCTAGCAAGAGTTTTAGTGTTTCAATGACTTGGGCTGTGTTTTAAGTTTTTTACAGGCTGGTGGATAATGATTGATGCAGCTGTGGTGTATCCGAAGCCAGAACAGTTGAACCATGCCTTTCACACATGTGGTGTATTTTCCACATTGGCTTTCTTCATGTAAGTATAAAGATAATTCTCTATTCAAGATGATTTTTCTAAAAATATTTTCCCCTTAATGTGCAGTGCTTTCTTGAATAACTTTTTAATTTAATTGATAGATTCTTTTTAAACACAATACATACATAATTCCCATTTTACTACGATTTTTTTTTTTTTTTTAAAGACGGGTTTCACCATATTGGTCAAGCTAGTCTTGAACTCCCGACCTCAGGTGGTCCGCCTGCCTTGGCCTCCAAAGTGCTTGGATTACAGGCATGAGCCACTATGCCCAGCCTATTATGATTTTTTTTTTAACCAAGAATGAGTGTTGGATTTGGTTTTAGCATCTATAAAGATTATCTTATGATTTTTTTTCTCATATTTTAAAAATCTGGTCAGTTACGTATTTTCAGTTCCCAGATTTTTAAAAAAATATTTTAATACCTCTTAATATCAGGATGCATCTTACGGCCAGTGGCATCTTAGAATTATAATTGATAATATTTTTATTTCTTGTCAGTATTAAGTAATGGTGTATCTTAAAATTGATGGCCTCTGAGATTTAATGAAACGTTACATTTCTGCATTTTTTTAATGGTAAATCATCCCTAGGTGTTGTAATACACTCAACTTTTACCTTGGAGTATTATTATTATTTTTTTTTTTGAGACAGAGTTTCGCCCTTGTTACCCAGGCTGGAGTGCAATGGCACGATCTCGGCTCACCGCAACCTCCGCCTCCTGGGTTCAAGCAATCCTCCTGCCTTAGCCTCCTGAGTAGCTGGGATTACAGGCACGTGCCACCATGCCCAGCTAATTTTTTGTATCTTTAGTAGAGACGGGGTTTCACCATGTTGACCAGGATGGTCTCGATCTCTCAACCTTGTGATCCACCCGCCTCGGCCTCCCAAAGTGCTGGGATTACAGGCTTGAGCCACCGTGCCCGGCCCTATATTATTATTATTATTTTTTTTTGAGACCAAGTCTCGCTCTGTTGCCACGCTGGAATGCTGTGGTGCCATCTCAACTCACTGCAGCCTCTGCCTCCTGGGTTCAAGTGATATTCCTGCCTCAGCCTCCCGAGTAGCTGGGACTACAGGAGCGTGCCACTAAGCCCATCTAAATTTTTTGGTATTTTTAGTAGAGATGGGGTTTTACCATGTTGGCCAGGATGGTCTTGATCTCCTGACCTCATGATCTGCCTGCCTCGGCCTCCCAGTGCAGGGATTACAGGTGTGAATCACCACGCCTGGCTGGAGTATTATTATTATTATTATTATTATTATTATTATTACTTTTGAGACGGAGTTTCGCTCTTGTTACCCAGGCTGGAGTGCAATGTCACGGTCTTGGTTCACCGCAACCTCCACCTCCTGGGTTCAGGCAATTCTCCTTCCTCAGCCTCCTGAGTAGCTGGGATTACAGGTACGCGTCACCATGCCCAGCTAATTTTTTGTATTTTTAGTAGAGACGGGGTTTCACCATGTTGACCAGAATGGTCTCGATCTTTTGACCTTGTGATCCACCCGCCTCGGCCTCCCAAATTGCTGGGATTACAGGCTTGAGCCACTGCGCCTGGCCTATTATTATTTTTTAGTGTGCTACTTGACTGTGTTTGCCAGTGTTTGAGGAAAAGGCAAGATTGACCTCAGAGGGATTTGTTGGTGGGTTTTGTTTTTTATTAAATTATTTTTAGGTTTATATTATTTCATAAAAGAGCTTGGAAGCTTTTTTTGTTTGTTTGTAGAAGTGATTTATTTAGAGATAGAGAAACAGGAGGAAAGAGAAAGAAACAGCTAACTCTCATACTGAGTGGGAGAATCCAGAAGGATGGAATCCAGGAGAGGAAAGCAGCTTCCACACTGAGTGGAAGGGAGTAGAGGGAGATGGAGTTTAGGAGGGGAAAACAGGCTTCGATGAGAGAGTGTGGAAGGGGACTCCAGAGGGAAAATCTAGGATGGAGAAAAACAGCTTCCGCAAGAGTGTTCGTAGAAGGGAATCCAAACATGGAGTCCCAGAAACTTTTTTTTTGAGACGGAGTCTCGCTTTGTTGCCAGGCTGGAGTGCTGTGGCCCTTGAAATAGAGAAATCTTGGTTCGTTGCAACCTCTGACTCCCTGGTTCAAGTGATTTTCCTGCCTCAGCCTCCTGAGTAGCTGGGATTACAGGCATGTACCACCATACCCGGCCAGTTTTTGTATTTTTAGTAGAGATAGGTTTCACTATTTTGGCCAGGATGGTCCTGATGTCCTGACCTCGTGATCCACCCACCTCAGCCTCCCAAAGTGCTGGGATTACAGGCATGAGCCACCACTCCCAGCCGGAAGCTTTTTATGGATGTCTTTTAAGAAAAAGACATTAAAAAAAAAATTAAACATTAAGATTACATAATTTCCTTATACTGTCAGGAGTTTTTTTTTTTTTTTTTTTTTTTTTTTTGAGACAGGGTCTCACTCTGTTGCCCAGGCCTGGGCTGGTGTGCAGTTATGTGATCTTGGCTTACCGCATCCTCCACTGCCAGGTTCAAGTGACTCAAATGATTCTCCTGCCTCAGCCTCCCGAGAAGCTGGGATTACAGAAACCCACCACTATGCCCAGATGCTAATGTTTTTGTATTTTTAGTAGAGACGAGGTTTCACCATGTTGGCCAGCCTGGTCTTGAATTCCGGACCTTGTAATTTGCCCGCCTTGGGATTACACGTGTGAGCCACCCTGCCCGACCAGGAGTTTTTAAAAGGTTATATTATGGAAAATGAAACTACTTATATCCATTCTGGCTGCTAAAAAGCAATTCCTGCTGCAACTAATGTACCTTGCTCTAACAAAAGTGGAAGGGGAAGCTGAATAAAGTGGGCTTATTTATTATACATAAACTGCATTTTCTCTGAGCTTAAGAAATGGATCATAGAAAATCACCTGACTTTTAACACAAAGAGAAATTGTTTAACTCTTGATCATAATGAGAACCTTAAAATGGTATAACACTGAGTCATTCACATATAAATGTGAAATAGACAAAGAAACCAGAAACCTGGCCCCTCTTGTATAATCTCTAGGGACAAATGATAGAAATCTAAAATAAATGTATTTTCTGGGTGTACTTTATAAAAATAAGATTAATGTAACATTTCTGTCCATTAGCATTTTTATTAGGTTAAAAAATATGTTAAATTATTCAGATATGGACTTTAGTTATGAAATAATCTGTTTTCCTTCTAAGTGATATGTAAATATTTGAGTATTTTAACAGCAAATACTGAAATCCGTTTGACGATTTTGTACTGTTTCTAGGATAAATGCTGTCTCCAATGCTCAGGTGAGAGGTGATAGCTATGAAAGTGGCTGTTTAGGAAGAACAGGTAAAGATTTTGAACTTTTAATGTGTGTTAGCAAAATATAAATTTATCAGTAGAAAAAAAGCCTCTGTTGTGAGTCTTTATTCAGGACTGGTAATAATTATATAGGATATTTTCTATTTGCTTTAAACAAAGTTTTGGTGTTATTCATATCCTTAAGAAAGTTAAAGTTATTGCTAGAAGTTACTGTTTTTGTCGTGTTATACTGCCAGTGATATTGATAAACAAATATTGCTGTTCAAATGGATCTTGGACTCCAGTACTAATGATGGATTTATTCTTATCCCAATTGTTGACCAATAATATTACTTAGAAGATGGCTGACTATGATTATTGCCAGGAAAATAATGAACACATTAGGGGATCAAACCTAGGACTACAGTGTCTTTACAATCACTCCTGATCACCTGAGTAGCTACCCACAGACTGCAACCAAATTGTTGAGAAGAAAGATGCTATTTGTCTACACATAAATTATTTTTTTGTAATTTGAATTCTTTTGAATTGTCATCTGATTGTATTTTTTTTAAAGTTATGTTGTAATATGAAGAAATTAAGGTACAGTGGACTTATAACTTGTCCAGAGTCACAGAGCCAGTAAGTGTTGGAGCTGGGAGTGAATACTGACAGTCTGGCTCCAGAGCCCGTCCTTTTAGCCACCATGCTGTGCTTGTTTCTCATCGAGAACTATTTTTCTTTTTGTTAGCTTAATTGAATATAATTCAAGTACAATAAAATTCACTTATTTATTTATTTACTTTTGAGATGGAGTCTTGCTCTGTCGCCAGGCTGGAGTGCAGTGGTGCAATCTTGGCTCGCTGCAGCCTCCACCTCCTGGGTTCAAGTACCTCCCACCTCAGCCTCCTGAGTAGCTGGGACTAAAGGCTCGAGCCACCACACCCAGCTAATTTTTGTATTTTTAGTAGAGATGGGGTTTCACCACATTGGCCAGGATGGTCTTGATCTCTTGACCTTGTGATCCACCTGCCTTGGCCTCCCAAAGTGCTGTGATTACAGGCGTGAGCCACTGTGCCCAGCCTATTTATTTATTTTGAGATGGAGTCTTGCTCTGTCACCCAGGTTGGAGTGCAGTGGTACGATCTTGGCTCCCTGCAACCTCCACCTCCCGAGTTCAAGCGATTCTCCTGCCTCAGCCTCCCAAGTAGCTGGGACTACAGGTGGTGTGCCACCACGCCCAGTTAATTTTTTGCTATTTTTAGTAGAGATGGGGTTTCACTGTGTTAACCAGGATGGCCTCCATCCTGACCTTGTGATCTGCCCACCTTGGCCTCCCAAAGTGCTGGTATTACAGGCATGAGCCACTACTCCTGGCCTTGTTAATTAATTATTTTATTATTATTATTATTATTATTATTTTTTGAGACGGAGTTTCACTCTTGTTACCCAGGCTGGAGTGCAATGGCGCGATCTCGGCTCACTGCAACCTCCACCTCCTGGGTTCAGGCAGTTCTCCTGCCTCAGCCTCCTGAGTAGCTGGGATTATAGGCACGCACCACCATGCCCAGCTAATTTTTTGTATTTTTAGTAGAGACGGGGTTTCACCATGTTGACCAGGTTGGTCTCGATCTCTCGACCTTGTGATCCACCCGCCTCGGCCTCCCAAAGTGCTAGGATTACAGGCTTGAGCCACCGCGCCCGGCCAATTATTTTATTATTATTAATGTTTTTTTCTTTTCTTTTTTTTTGTATTATTATTTTTGAAACAGAATGTTATTCTGTCACCCAGGCTGGAGTGCAGTGGCACGATCCTGGCTCACTGCAGCCTCCACAGTCTGAGCTCAAGTGATCCTCCCACCTCGACTATCCAAGTAGCTGGAATTACAGGCACATGCTGCTGCGCCCAGCTCATTTATTTCTATTTTTTGTAGAGACAGGTTTTGCCATGTCTCTACAGATCACACCGCCATCACACTTGGCTGATTTTTTGTACTTTTAGTAGAGATGGGGTTTTACCATGTTGCCCAGGTTGGTTTCGAACTCCTGAGCTCAGGTAATCCGCCCACCTTTGCCTCACAAATTTCTGGGATTACAGGTGTGAGCCACCATTCCCAGCCTTTAAGAATTTTTTAATAGTTATTAGATAAAAAATATGATTGAATATAATTTAGAGGTTGTATTTCTCCAAAGAACTAAACATTACTGTTTATTTCTGAAGATCTGCTTAGTATTGTAGTAAAATTTAGATAACATAGAGGCCTGTTTCTCTCAAATATCAGCTGTTGTAACCATGATGAGCTTTGATCAGTGCTTCTTCCTTATCTGGTGTCTAAAATGAATCTATTCACTGGTAACAAAATATTTTCAACTGAGGCAAATTTAGTTTTCTGTTATGGAAGTTGGCTAGGATTTTATTTTTACTTCAGCAGAGCGTTGTTCTTCCACAGGTGATGGGACTGTCAATATACCTGTGAATAGGGTCTGGTGCAAGTGTTAACCTGCTTTCCTAAAAATGTGTTGAATCTACTCAAGTGTCCAGATGATTACATTATTGAGATCTAGAATTTTGTTCAATGCATGGTTGAAGAGATGCTTCTGATTTTGTACTTTTCAAGAATCTGTGGTACAGATTGGCTGCCTCAGCCATAAAAAGGCATGAATATACTCCTAAAGAATGGCCATTATTTGTACCATATTGAGTAATGGTGTGATTTTAGAAGCTTACCATTGATTAAAAAGGGACATATTAGTCCTTATTCACTTGAAATCTCTCATTCCTATGTGGTGATGGCTGTCTAGAATATATATGCTACTTTTAATAGAGCAATTACTTTTATAATATATACAACAGGGTAATTTTTTAGTTAGGGCATTCATTTCTCTAGTAAGTAAAAAGGTAACTTTCTTTTTTTCTTTCCATGCATGGTTTAACTTCTTTTAGTTTTGTATTTTATCATCATTAATTTAACTTACAGCAGATTTATATAAATATATGACTGTCTTACATATGTATAATATATATTAGGCTAACAGGGTTCCTAGTATTATATATGTCTGAGACATTAGAGAGCTGAAAAAATGAGCAAAATCATAAAGCCTCTTCTCCACACAGGTGCTCGAGTTTGGCTTTTCATTGGTTTCATGTTGATGTTTGGGTCACTTATTGCTTCCATGTGGATTCTTTTTGGTGCATATGTTACTCAAAGTAAGTATGTAATCTTCCTGTATTTTATAGGAGAGATTCAGATATGTCTTTTATATTTGGCTTATTCTACCTTGAGTACAATTTAGTCTAATGATTCAGCTAGAGTGAAGATACTACTCTGTGTGAAGATACATTAGTTGTTTAATAAAACTTGTCAGTGGGAACACTTAGTGCAGTAGGATAGTCCTGTTTAGGAAATCCAAGCCACTGACAAAGCTGTACCTCTCAGCTGTCTCCAGACTTTCTGCTTTCCTTCCTTACCTTAGACAGCCAGGCTTTTATGCTAGAGGCCCATTTCCTTGCAGTAGAAAAAATGAGAAGCCAGTACTGGTGTACAGTCCCTTATATACAATTCTAAAATCCACAAAATGCTGAAAACCAAGTTATTTATAACTAGTTTGGCAGCAAAACCTGACCTAAACTGACATGGGGCTCACTATGGTCTTTATCCCATTTTGTGTAAGTATTCAGATGTTTTATTATAGGAATGAATATGGATATATTGGATTATAGGATATTTGTCCATACCCAGCTGGTGATGCTATGTAATATATATGCTTTCCCTTGCTGTTCTTAAATCTGAAGAACTCTGGATTACAAAATATATCTTGCCCCAGGGATTTCAGATAAGGGGTGTAGACCCCTAATCCAATAATTTATGGATTATCAGTGGATAATCTTTCTTTTCATTAACACCTTCTCTCTCCAACCTAATCCTGTAATTTTTTTTTTTTTTTTTTGGAGACGGAGTCTTGCTTTGTTGCCCAGGCTGCAGTGCAGTGGCATGATCTCAGCTCATTACAACCACTGCCTCCTAGGTTCCATTAATTCTCCTGTCTCAGCCTCTCAAGTAGCTGGGATTATAGGTGCATGCCACCATGCCCGGCTAATTTTTGAATTTTTTTTTTAGTAGAGACAGAGTTTCACCATGTTAGCCAGGCTGGTCTCGAACTCCTGACCTAAAGTGATCGGCCCACCTTGGCCTCCCAAAGTGCTGGGATTACAGGTGTGAGCCACCAGGCATGGCCGGTCCTGTAGTTTTTAAGTCACAGGTACGAGGGGAGTTTTTTAAGTGCAAGACTGAAGACATATATGTGTACCCTTCATACAGTGTACCCTTTGTACATGTATGTGTACCCTTCACACATATGTATCCTACATATATGTGTATCCTTCCTTCATACCCTTCTTACAATACCCTTCATATTGTATCTAGTATATCCATATTTATTCCTACAATAAAACATCTGAATACTTACACTAAATGGGGTAAAGACCATAGTGAGCCCCAAGTTAGTTTAGGTCAGGTTTTGCTGCCAAATTAGTTATAAACAGTTGATGGAGTGGGACGAGCTCTTATTATCACCATTCTGAGTTTTCTGGCTGTGCCATGTGCCATAGCTTTCCATTCATGGTAGTGTTGAAAAACAACCCAGTTTCAAAAGTGTCTCTGGAAGCGTTGGAAGACTGTTTCACTGGCCCTCTTCCTTTGCTCCGAAGATAGGAGTCAGTTTCAGAGAACACAATTTATTCATCCTCTGGCTCCTCTGCCTCTGGAATCTTTCTTTGGTTAACTGTCACATCTCCTTGTCCTGACCCACAGCTGATTTTTGAATACTTTTTATAGTATCATTTAAGTCTCATAGTTTGATCAGTATAAGATCTTTGGAATACCTTTGCTTTTCCTTTGTCTTTCACTTGGTACAAAATAAGTCAGATTACAAGAGGACAGTGGTTGGCTAATGCTTAGATAACATGGCTCATCAACTGTATCTAAAATGTGTTTTTTAGTTAATTAAAAATACTGCTAGAGCACACAGTTGTGGTATGAAGCTTATCTCAAGGAAAATGCTTTTTAAAAAATAGCTTCATTGAGATGTAATTTGCATACCATATAATTCAGCCATTTAAAGTATTCAGTTCAGTGTTTTTAGTATTTTCACAGAATTGTGCTACCATCACCAGAATCCAATTTGAGAATATTGTTAATCACTCCCATACCCATTAGCAGTCACTACCCATTACTCCCTTCCCCTAGCCCTAGTCAGCCACTAATGTACTTTCTGTCTCTATAGATATATCTATTTCATATACATGGAATCTTATAGGAAAGTATTTTTGTTGTTGTTGTTGTTGTTGTTGTTTGTTTGTTTGAGATGGAGTCTGCCTCTGTTGCCCAGGCTGGAGTGCAGTGGCGTGATCTTGGCTCACTGCAACCTCTGCCTCCCAGGTTCAAGCAGTTCTTTTATCTTAGCCTCCCATGTAGCTGGGACTGCAGGTGCATGCCACCATGCCCGGATAATTTTTCTACTTATAGTAGAGATGGGGTTTCACCATATTGGTCAGGCTGGTTTCGAAGTCCTGACCTCAGGTGATCCACCCACCTTGGCCTCCCAAAGTGCTGGATTACAGGTGTGAGCCACTGTGCCCAACTGCAAAGTGTGTTTTAGATGCATTTTATCCCTGACTCTAAGAAGGATGGGCTGCTGTCACTGATTTCTTAAAAGATTTCCATAGTTCAGATAAATTAACAATTTGAGCAAAGAACGATTCATGAATCGAGTAGCACTCAGAACCAAGAAGAATTTCAGAGAGCTTCACCCAGCAGCATGAGCAGCTGTAGGCTGAACAGAAAGCAAAGTCAAGAATTTAGATTGTCTTGTTATAGCAACAGAAAATGGACTTAAAAAAATAATAATAATAAAAAAGAAAGAAAAAAATTTAGATTGTCTATAGCTATGTGTCTTATTTATGCATGGTCTCATCAGTTGGCTGCTTGGGATTGGCTAAAGCTTAGCTGTTTGTGATTGGCTAAAATTCAGCTATTTATTACAAAATACATCCTTAGGTTTCAGTTTGTTTTCAGAAGTTAGGTTGGGGGTCATACAGGAACTCAGAGAAGAGAGATAGCCTCAGGTTAGTGGCCTCCTGCTTATTTACTTTAGCAGTTGAAGTGATGCGTGAACTTTACAGTTTCTATAGTGAAAACAGGAATAAATTGCCATTTCCGTAAAGTATGTAGGGAAATGGTGTTTGCAAAGGCTGTACTCTTGTTGACTGTATCTTTTTTTTTTTTTGAGACAGAGTTTTGCTCTTGTTGCCCAGGCTGGAATGCAATGGCACAATCTTAGTTCACTGCAACCTCTGCCTCCTAGGTTCAAGCAATTCTCCTGCCTCAGCCTCCTAAGTAGCTGAGATTACAGGTGCCTGCCACCATGCCCAGCTAATTTTTGTATTTTTAGTAGAGACAGGGTTTCACCATGTTGGCCAAGCTGATCTTGAATTTCTGAACTCAGAGGATCCACCCACCTTGGCCTCCCAAAGTGTTGGGATTACAGGTGTGAACCACCGAGCCCAGTCGATTGTATCTTAATATTTAAAGAGCTAGTACATATTGATAAATTTCTTTTTTTCTTTTCTTTTTTTTTTTTTTTTTTGAGATGGAGTTTCGCTCTTGTTACCCAGACTGGAGTGCAATGGCACGATCTTGGCTCACTGCAACCTCCGCCTCCTGGGTTCAGGCAATTCTCCTGCCTCAGCCTCCTGAGTAGCTGGGATTACAGGCAAGCGCCACCATGCCCAGCTAATTTTTTGTATTTTTAGTAGAGACGGGGTTTCACCATGTTGACCAGGATGGTCTCGATCTCTTGACCTTGTGATCCACCTGCCTCGGCCTCCCAAAGTGCTGGGATTACAGGTTTGAGCCACCGCACCCGGCCCCAATAAATTTCTTGATTGTGAATTTCATCTTCCTGTTTCAACAGCATTGCTCATTTAAATATACTTTTCTTTTTTTTTAAGATGGAGTTTCGCCCTATTGCCCTCCTTAGGCTAGAGTGCAGTGGTGCAGTCTTGGTCTACTGCAACCTCCACCTCGTGGGTTCAAGCCATTATCCTGCCTCAGCCTCCCATGTAGCTTCGATTACAGGCACCTGCCATCATGCCCAGCTAATTCTGTATTTTTAGTAGAGACAGGGTTTCACCATGTTGGCCAGGCTGGTCTCAAACTCCTGACTTCAAGTGATCCACCTGCCTTGGCCTCCCTAAGTGTTGGAATTACAAGCGTGAGCCACCATGCCTGGCCTAAATATACTTTTCTATTTGTAAAGAAAATATGACTTTATTTCAGAGAGCATTTCTAGCGCGTTTCAAGTCTTTTACTGTGCAGATTTGCTTGAACTATTAATATTCATAATAATAGCTAACTTTTATATACTACTTTACAGGATACTGGTCTAAGCACTATACAGAGTCACTCATCTAATTCTTACACTCTAGAGTCGGTGCTATTACAATGCCCATTTTACAGGTGAGGAAATGAAGATATGCTGTGGTTAAATTATTTGCCCAAGGTCATATATTTAGTCAGTGGTATAGATAGGATTCAAACTTGTGTCTGGCTCAAACTTGGAGCACTTAACCATGCTTCTGTATTGTTTGCTGTGATATCAAGAGCTCAGAATTGAACCAGTTTCTTCATCCTGTCCAGTATTTTTTAATCAATATTTATAGTTTTACAAAAGTTAATCATTCACAGAAATTTAAGTAATTTCCATTTTCTTTTCTCTTCCTATAAAGATAGTAACTCCTGGATAGATTGAGTGAAAGAGAATGATGATAAATTGTAACTATGTTGTTTATATCTGACACATTTGCATAATAAAACTCCTGGATTGAGAGCCAGGCCCTGTGGTGTGTGCTTGTAGTCCCAGCTACTTGGGAGGCTGAGGCAGGAGGATCACTTGAGCCCAGGAGTTTGGGCTGTAGTGTGCTGTGATTGTGGCTGTTAGTAGCTGCTGCACTCCAGTCTGGGCAATGTAGTGAGGCCCCATTTCTTTAAAAACTAAAATAAGCCTCTTGAATTCATGAAAGAAGATAACAGACTGATTAAAAGTTAAGAATTTAATTTATATATTTTTACGATTTTGTATTTCAATATTGGCCATAGGAGGCAAAGGAACAAGTTACTGCTTTCTCAGCAGTTTTGATGTAGCTAGAACCAGCAATTACTTTAGACAAAAATAAAACTTGATAAGTTCGTTGACTTTTATCCAGAGTAAGAGTAGTTTTTTGTTTGGGGGGAATTAAGTTGGCATTTTCTTCTTTCAATTTCATTATAGATGTCTTAGAGTTAATGAATAATAGCAGTATGTTGTAATATACAAAATGTGTCATGAAAGGCACTGATACTTTATTACTGCTGTTTGCCTATCTAACCTTCTAATCTGTTTTACTTTATATATGTAGATACTGATGTTTATCCGGGACTAGCTGTGTTTTTTCAAAATGCACTTATATTTTTTAGGTAAGTTGTCTTATTTCTTAACCACACCTGTAACATTTACAGAAATGTCAGCTTAATTAAGGCAGCATATACATGGAGCACGTATAAATCTCATGGATTGGTTACAATGATAGAACTTATTTTATTTTTATTTTTTATTTTCATTTTTTTAAAGACAGGGTTTCACCATGTTGGCCAGACTGGTCTCAAACTTCTGACCTCAGGTGATCCATCTGCCTCGGCCTCCCAAAGTGCTGGGATTTTTTTTTTTTTTTTTTTTTTTTAGACGGAGTTTCGCTCTTGTTACCCAGGCTGGAGTGCAATGGCATGATCTCGGCTCACCGCAACCTCTGCCTCCTGGGTTCAGGCAATTCTCCTGCCTCAGCCTCCTGAGTAGCTGGGATTACAGGCACGAGCCACCATGCCCAGCTGATTTTTTGTATTTTTAGTAGAGACGGGGTTTCACCTTGTTGACCAAGATGGTCTCGATCTCTTGACCTTGTGATCCACCCGCCTCGGCCTCCCAAAGTGCTGGGATTACAGGCTTGAGCCACCGTGCCCGGCAGTGCTGGGATTTTTAAAAGGTGAAAATTCCACTGTTACGTAAGAGTAGACATAGGCCTTTTAACTAGGGGTCTTGTTGTATACCAAGACTTTAGCTGGATGCTTTATATATTTTATGGTTTTTTTTTTGAAGCGGTGTCTTGCTCTGTCACCCAGGCTGAAGTGCACTGGCATGATCTTGGCTCAGTACAACCTCTGCCTCCCAGGTTCAAACAGTTCTCTGCCTCAGCCTCCCAAGTAACTGGGCTTACAGGTGCCTGCCCACCACGCCCGGCTAATTTTTTTTGTAGTTTTAATAGAGATGGGGTTTCACCATCTTGGCCAGGCTGGTTTTGAACTCCTGACCTCATGATTCACCTGCCTTGGCCTCCCAAAGTGCCAGGATTACAGGTGTGAGCCATTGTGCCCGGCCTTCTTTTACCTTTTAAGTTCCCATTTAGGCCAAGTTCAGTGGCTCATGCCAGTAATCCCAGCACTTTGGGAGGCTAAGGTGGCTGGATTGCTTGAGCCTAGGAGTTCAAGATCAGCCTGGGCAACATGGCAAAACCCTGTCTCTACAAGAAAATATAAAAATTAGCTAGGTGTGGTTACATCTGTGGTCCCAGCTACTCAGGAGGCTGAGGTGGGAGAATTGCTTGAACCTGGGAGGTAGAGGCTGCAGTGAGGCAATATTGCACCACTGCCCTCCAGCCTGGGCAATAGACTGAGACACTGTCTCAAATAAATAAATAAAAGTAAATAAATAAATTCCCATTCATTAAAAATATATGTCAGATGGTGTTCCCGTTTTATTTATTTTTATTTTTATTTATTTATTCATTTTTGAGACAGAGTCTCTCTCTGTAGCCCAAGCTGGAGTGCAGTGGTGCAGTCATGGCTCACTGCCTCGGGGCTCAAGCGATTCTCGTGCCTCAGCCTCCCGAGTAGCTGGGACTACAGGTGCCTGCCACCATGCCCAGCTAATTTTTTGTATTTTAGTAGAGATGAGGTTTCACCATGTTGCCCAGGTGGTATTGCGCTCCTGAGCTCAGATCTGCCTGCCTCTTCCTGTCTCGGCCTCCTGAGGTGCTGGGATTACAGGTGTAAGCCACTGAGCCCAGCATTACTCCCATTTTATAGATGAAGAAATAAGGCTTAGAGCTTGCTTTAGGATGCCTAGCTAGTAAATGAGGAGCTGGGGTTTGAATCCAGAGTGCTGCTTGCATAGCCTATGTTTTGTTAAAAAGCTGTGTCAGGCTCACTGCTTCACTTGACCAGCCTTTTGAAAAACAAAACAGGTAAAGTACCTTTATTAAGAAAAAAGGAAAAACTGGAATTAATAAATGGTGGCCATGTATGGTGGCTCATGCCTGTAATCCCAGCACTTTAGGAGGCCGAAGTAGGTGGATCGCCTGAGGTCAGGGGTTCAAGACCAGCCTGGCCAACATAGTGAAATCCCATCTCTACTAAAAATACAGAAGTTAGCTGGGTGTGGTGGTGCGTGCCTATAATCCCAGCTACTTGGGAGGCTGAAGCAGGAGAATGGCTTGAACCCAGGAGGCTGAGGTTGTAGTGAGCCAAGATCGTGCCATTGTACTCCAGCCTGGGCAACAGAGTGAGACTTCATCTCAAAAAATAAAATAAAATAAATCTCTCCATTGTCACTTTGGAGAATTAAAAGAAATAAATTAATCTTTACTTCTACAGTGTCTAATCTACCATGCCAGCCAATTAATTTTTCATCTGAGACATTGTATTTTCTATCTGTAGAAGCTTGATTGGGTCTTTAAAAATATTTCTGATGTCCTTTAACATGCTTATGCTGTCTTTCACCTTCTTGAACACAGAGTATATTTATAGCTATCTCAGGGTCCTGGTCTAATTGCCTATGCGTTTCTACATCTGTTTCTATTGATTAAGTCTGCTTCTGTTTATTCTTCATTTTGGATCTGTTTTCTATTATTTGGAGCTTTGCATGTAATTTGTTGGGACTGGATCATTTGCTAGTCCTTTAAATGTTTTTGAGCTTTGTTTTGGGATGCAGTTAGGTGACTCAGAAACAATATGATCCTTTTGTGTCTTTTAAGCTTTGTTATAGGCAGGATGAGAGCAGCTGTAGTCCAGGACTAATTTGTCCCTTACTAAAGCAGTCATAGTCAACCTTTGAGTGTTTCAATGCTCTGATGCTCCATGTATTCTGAGGTTTCTGCACTTGACTTGTGAGAACGTGACCTCTCTTCCAGCCTTGTGGTAGCTCTGGGACGTGTTCTCTCCAGTAGTTCTTTCCTTTCCTCGGGTAGTTTCTTCTTATGTATAGACTGATCAATACTCAGCTGCAGACTCAAGGAGCACCTCCTGCATATCTCCTGCGTTCCCTCTGTGTGGCCGTCTGTACGCTGCCTGGCTAACTCTTGCCATGTGGTCTCTTCCAACTCTCAGGAGGAGATGCTGTACCTGGATTTCCTCTTACAGCCTTGACACTCTTGGTTTTGAAAGATGTTTGGCAGTTCTGCTGTCTTATGTGCTGTCAGTCACATGTTTGGCATGTAACTGACAACCTTCAGGGATATAATAAGTTATCATAAAGACATTTTAGGCAGTCTCTAGAGATTAAGTTCGAATTCAGCACTTTGTGGTTGTACGTGAATCTACATACATGAGAGTTGGATGAATAGAAACCTTGTATGCTCACGTAGACTATGACAGCCATGTCAGCTGTGTGCTCTGCCCAGAGGCCAGTACGTTATCAGGCAGCCTGTGTGCTGGGGCTGTTCTAAGCTCCGGGGTACAACCTCTTTTATTTACATCTCTGGTCACTCCTCTGTTTCCATTGCAAGCTGATCCTCCACCCCCTGGCTACTACCTTTTGAAATCTCTTGAAGCTCTGTTCTTGGCGTTAAGAAACTTTGTTATTTTTCGGTCTCTGGGTGAACTCATGTATGCTTAGGACTCCTAGTTATTGCTTATGCGCCAGTGAGTCACAGATGTTCCTTTCCAGGTCTAAACCGTATGTCTAGATTCCTACTTAACATCCCGTCTTGGGTTGCTGACATTGCAAATCCAGAACATTCAGTATGCCCACAGCTCAACGCATGGCCCTGGAGTGTCCCATGTCTCTGCTCCCCTCTTCTTATCCCCACTCTCACTTTGCTGAGTTAATTCCCACTTTTCTTTTGGATCTCAGTTCAGTCACCACTTCTCAGGAAAACCTTTCCTGACCTCTATAACTAGGTCTGATCCTTATGTTGCACTCTTAGGATACTGTGTAGGTCTTGCTTATAGCATTTTTTTTTTTACAGTTGGAATTTTATATTTATTTGATTGTCTTATTATTAGATCCTTAGCTCCATTAGGGAACACGTTTGTCTGGACTCACAGTCTCATCCTAGCACTTAGCCAGGTGCTTGATACATAGCCAGTTCTCGGTATACAATAATTATTTGTTAAAGGAATGAAGAATTGCAGCATGTTCTGTTGTAGGGTGCTTCAGTTATTGTACTTTAGATATGGTAGACTCCTAGGTAAAATGGCCCTAATACCTGTCACTATGAGAAATGTCTCTTTCTCTTTTTTTAATTCATTTTTGTTTTTCTGAGTCATAGAGAAATGCCTCTTTTCCTTACAGGTTTCCTGGTAATAACTTTCCAGGCGTTAAAAAAGAATACAGGCCGGGTGCGATGGCTCACACCTGTAATCCTAGCACTTTGGGAGGCCGAGGTGGATGGATCACCTGAGGTCAGGAGTTCAAGACCAGCCTGGCCATCATGGTGAAACCCCATCTTTAAAAAAAACACAGAAAACAAAACAAAACAAAACAAAAAGAATACAGTTATGCTCAGCCATCATGGTTAACAGACTGCTTTACAAAATAAGCAAATTGAGATCAACACTGCCATGATGTTTAATTTAAAAAATTGATAGGAATCAGTGAAGTACCTGTCAAAGCATATTGAGAAAATGAATTGTGTTGCTTGCTCATCTGTTTTTCCCTCATGATTTGTTTTCCTATCTTTCTAGCACTCTGATCTACAAATTTGGAAGAACTGAAGAGCTATGGACCTGAGATCACTTCTTAAATCACATTCTCCTTTTGTTATATTCTGTTTGTAGATAAGTTTTTTTCTCTCTGAGTACACATTGCCAAATGGAGTAGACTGTACATTAAATGTTTTGTTTCTTTACATTTTTATGTTCTGGGATTTGAAATCGTTTTATGACATTTCGTTCTTTTTCATTGCATAGACTGTTAATATGTATATAATACAAGAGTATATGAATTGGATAATGAGTATCAGTTTTTTATTCCTGAGATTTAGAACTTTATCTGTTCCGTGAGCGGGGGTTATATCATCATGTCATTTTAGAAGTAACCACTTTCTCTCTGGCTGGGCGTGGTGACTCAAACACCTGTAATCCCAGCACTTTGGGATGCCAAGACAGGCAGATTACCTGAGGTCAGGTTTGAGGCCAGCCTGGCCAACATGGCGAAACCCTGTCTACTAAAAATACAAAAATTAGCTGGATGTGGTGGTGGGCGCCTGTAATCCCAGCTACTTGGGAGGCTGAGGCAGGAGAATTGCTGGAACCCTGGGGCGGAATTTGCAGTGAGCTGAGTTTGCACCACTGCACTCTAGCCTGGGTGACAAAGTGAAACTCTGTCTCAAAATAAATAAATAAATAAATAAATAACCACTCTTCTCTCAGTATCTCTAATTTCTCAAGATGTGCAAAAAATATAGCTTCATATATCTGGAATGAGCACTGAGCCATAAAAGGTATTTCAGCAAGTTGTAATTTATTTTGGCCTAAAAATAAGGTTTTTTTTGTAAAGGAAAATGTTTGTTCTTATGTATTGAAGAAGTGTACTTTTATATAATGATTTTTTAAATGCCCAAAGGACTAGTTTGAAAGCTTCTTTTAAAAAGAATTCCTCTAATATGACTTAATGTGAGAAGGGATAATAGATGATCAAATAAACTCAGTTTTTTATGGTTACTGTAAAAAGACTGTGTAAGGCAGCTCAGTACCATGCTTCTCATAAAAGCAGCTTAAATTATCCACTGGGGTTATCTTTTGACAACCTGCCATTATCTGATGTTACACAATTCAATAGCAAGCAAGTTTGAGACAATCGCAGTTTAAAAGCGTGAACCATATAACAAAAAGTGGAACAGTTAAAGCACTTCTTCCCAAAGGAAATTATCAGCTAGTGAAAAATTAGGCATTTCATCTCAGTTACCGACTGCAAGTCTCTCTTCGCTCTAGCTCTCAAGCTTTGGGTGAATGTTCCTGCGAAATATATCTTCAACTTGAAAGTTCATACTCCAATCAAAAACTCCTTTTACTGAGTTTGCAGTACTGTATTTGCACTGTTTGTATTCCTCTGGGCCTTTATTGCTACTTTTGCTTTCCTTTGTTACACAGATTTTGTGTTGCACTTTGTTCTCCAGCGGGGTGTTGTAGAGCCTTGGTTGTATGAATAATACCAGCGGTAGTGTCCACAGCTCACATGCAGGCCCATTTGGCATCACTCCTCTCCTCTCTCTCAGAGGATTTATTGTGCACAGAGTATGAAGCAGTTGTGGAGCGCTGTGCCTTTGTCAAGATACCATCTTGTTTGATGACTTCTTTCTTTGCTGTTTTTCTTCAAAATGTTAGCAAGCTGTGTCATGCCTCTAGCAAATTGTAAGACTAATGATTTGTTTCCACCCTCACAACTTGTTGCAATAAATACTACTTTTCATGCAGTTTAATATTGTTGTTTGTTGGAGAAAATGAACCATAAAAATTGATTTGCTATTCAGTTTTCAGCTGTTCAAGTATACCCAATTAAAGATGCAGTTATGTTTATAAAACAAGAAATAGACTTGTAAGATGCTCATGTGAAGGTTATTGAAGGTTTCCCTGAACACTGACTGGAAATGGTGGCTGTTTTTTTCTATTTTTGACTGTGCCATGAATTATTTTTTTGAGACAAGATTTCACTCTTGCCTAGGCTGGAATGCAATAGTGCAACCACAGCTCACTGCACCTTCACACGCTAGGGCTCAGGCAGTCCTCTCACTTCCACCTTCCAAGTGGCTGGAACTGCAGGTGCGTGTCACCTGCCCAGTTAATTTTAAAAAATTTGTATTTTTGTAGAGAAGGGGTCTCATGCTGTTGAGGCTGGTTGAACTGGTTTCAACACATTCACCTGCCTCAACCTTACAAAGTGCTAGGGTAACTGGCATGAGCCACCACACCAAGCCCTGAATTTGTTTTTTAGCTGTGAGCAAATCACTTAGTTTTCTGTTTCCTCTTTTTTTTTTTTTTGAGACAGAGTTTCGCTCTTCTTACCCAGGCTGGAGTGCAATGGCGTGATCTTGGCTCACCGCAACCTCCGCCTCCTGGGTTCAAGCAATTCTCCTGCCTTAGCCTCGCGAGTAGCTGGGACTACAGGCACGCGCCACCATGCCCAGCTAATTTTTGTATTTTTAGTAGAGACGGGGTTTCACCTTGTTGACCAGGATGGTCTTGATCTCTTGATCTTGCGATCCACCCACCTCGGCCTCCCAAAGTGCTGGGATTACAGGCGTGAGCCACCGTGTCTGGCCTGTTTCCTCATTTTAAAAGAGATTATATTAGTATCCATTCTTACAAATATTATGAGTTAGAAAAAGCAGAATCTTTGGTAATCATCTAAAAATGCATGTCATTCCCTTACTAAAGTTCTTAAGCTGTCACATAGGTTCAGTGGTCATTGAATCTGAATGTGTTTTGTGTGTGGACCAATATCAGAGTATTTCATTTTATTGCTCTATTTCTAAGATCCTTGTATTCCTTGTGCTGTTGCCACTGAGTAAAAAACCAGAGGCTATATGTGTGTGTGTGTGTGTGTGTGTGTGTGTGTGTGTATGATTATACTTAAAGTTCTGGTTCGGAACTTTAAGTGTAAGTTTAAAGTAAGTATACTTTAAGTTCAGAACGTGCAGTTTGTTACATGGGTATACACGTGCCATGGTGGTTTGCTGCACCCATCAGTCCATCATTTACATTAGGAATTTCTCCTAATGCTATCTCTCCCCTAGCCCCCATACCCCTCGACAGGCCCCAGTGTGTGATGTGCCCCTCCCTGTGTCCATGTGTTCCCATTGTTCAACTCTCACTTATGAGTGAGAACATGCAGTGTTTGGTTTTCTGTTCCTGTGTTAGTTTGCTGAAAACGATGGTTTCCAGCTTCATCCATGTCCCTGCAAAGGGTATGATTCTAAAAAAATGTTTTTCAAGACAGAATATTGCTTTGTTGACCACGCTACAGTGCAGTGGTACAGTCTCAGCTCACTGCAACCTCTGCCTCCTGGGTTCAAGGGCTTTTTCTGCCTCAGTCTCCTGAATAGCTGGGGTTACAGGCTCCTGCTACCATGCCTGGCTAATTTTTTATATTTTTAGTAGAGATGGGATTTCACCATGTTGGCCAGGCTGGTCTCGAACTCTGGACCTCGTGATCCACCTACCTTGGCCTCCCAAAGCACTGGGATTATAGGCATGAGCCACCATGCCCAGTGAACTCATCCATTTTTTATGGCTGCATAGTATTCTATGTGTGTATGTGTGCCACATTTTCTTTATCCAGTCTATCACTGATGGGCATTTGGGTTGGTTCCAAGTCTTTGCTATTGTGAACAGTGCTGCAATAAACATACATGTACATGTGTTTTTGTAGTAGAAGGATTTTTATAATCCTTTGGGTATGTACCCAGTAATGGGATTGCTGGGTCAAATGGTATTTCTGGTTCTAGATCCCTGAGGAATCGTCACACTGTCTTCCACAATGGTTAAACTAATTTACACTCAACAACAGTGTAAAAGTGTTCCTATTTCTCCACATCCTCTCCAGCATCTGTTGTTTCCTGACTTTTTAATTATTGTCATTCTAACTGGCATGAGATGGTATCTCATTGTGGTTTTGATTTGCATTTCTCTAATGACCAGTGATGAGGAGCTTTTTTTCATATGTTTCTTGGCCACGTAATGTCTTCTTTTGAGAAGTGTCTGTTCATATCTTTTGCCCACTTTTGATGGGGTTCTTTTCGTAAATTTGTTTCAGTTCTTTGTGGATTCTAGATACTAGCCCTTTGTCAGATGGATAGATTGCAATTTTTTTCTCCCATTCTGTAGGTTGCTTATTCACTGTGATGATAGTTTCTTTTGCTGTGCAGAAGCTCTTTAGTTTAATTAAATCCCATTTGTCAAGTTTGGCTTTTGTTGCCATTGCTTTTGGTGTTTGAGTCATGAAGTCCTTGCCTACGCCTATGTCCTGAATGGTACTGTCTAGGTTTTCTTCTAGGGTTTTTATGGTTTTAGGTCTTACATTTAAGTCTTTAATCCATCTTGAGTTAATTTTTGTATAAGGCGTAAGGAAGGGGTCCAGTTTTAGTTTTCTGTATATGGCTAGCCAGTTTTCACACCATTTATTAAACAGAGAATCCTTTCTCCATTGCTTGTTTTTGTCACATTTGTCAAAGATCAGATGGTTGTAGATGTGTGGTGTTGAGGCCTCCGTTCTGTTCATTGGTCTGTATCTGTTTTGGTACCAGTACCATGCTGTTTTGGTTACTTAGCCTGGTAGCATAGTTTGAAGTCAGGTAGCATGACGCCGCCAGCTTTGTTCTTTTTGCTTAGGATTGTTTTGGTTATACAGGCTCTTTTTTGGTTCCATGTGAAATTAATGTAGTTTTTTTCTAATTCTGTGAAGATAATCAATGGTAGCTTGATGGGGATAGCATTGAATTAATAAATTACTTTGGGAAGTATGGCCATTTTCATGATACTGATTCTTCCTAACCATGAGCATGGAATGTTTTTCCATTTGTTTGTGTCCTCTCTTATTTCCCTGAGCAGTGATTTGTAGTTCTCCATGAAGAGGTTTTTCACATCCCTTGTAAGTTGTATTCCTAGGTATTTTATTTCTCTTTGTAGCAATTGTTTCATTCTCCCCGTCACTTTGAGGTACACCAATCAAACGTAGATTTGGTCTTTTCACAAAGCCTCCATATTTCTTGGAGGCTTTGTTTGTTCCTTTTGATTCTTTTTTCTCTAATCTTGTCTTCACGGTTTATTTCATTAAGTTGATCTTCAGTTTCTAAATCCTTTCTTCTACTTGATCAGTTTAGCTATTGATACTTGTGTATGCTTCATGAAGTTCTTGTGCTTTGTTTTTCAGCTCCGTCAGGTCATTTATCTTCTCTAAACTGGTTATTCTAGTTAGCAGTTCCTCTAACCTTTTTTCAAGATTCTTAGCTTCCTTGCATTGGGTCAGAACATGCTCCTTTAGCTTGGAGGAGTTTGTTACTACCCACCTTCTGAAGCCTGCTTCTGTCAATTTGTCAAACTCCGTCCAGTTTTGTTCCCTTGCTGGTGAGGAGCTGTGATTCTTCGGAGGAGAAGAGGTGTTCTGGTTTTTGGAATTTTCAGCCTTTTTGTGCTTGTTTTTCCTTAGCTTCATAGATTTATCTACCTTGATGTTGGTGACCTTCAGATGGCGTTTTTGTGTGGACGTCCTTTTTGTTGATGTTGATGTTATTCCTTTCTGTCTGTTAGCTTTCCTTCTAACAGGCCCCTCTGCTGCAGGTCTGCTGGAGCTTGCTGGAGGTCTACTCCAGACTCTGTTTGCCTGGGTATCACCAGGGGAGGCTGCAGAACAGCAGGTTGCTGCCTGTTCCTGCCTCTGGAAGCTTCATCCCAGAGGGGCAACTGCCAGACGCTAGCTGGAGCTCTCCTGTATGAGGTGTCTGTCGACCCCAGCTGGAAGGTATCTCCCAGTTAGGAGGCATGGGGTCAGGGACCCACTTGAGGAGGCAGTCTGTCCCTTAGCAGAGATCGAGTGCTGTGCTGGGACATCTGCTGCTCTCTTCAGAGCCAGCAGACAGGAACGTTTAAGTCTGCTGAAGCTGTGCTCACAGCCGCCCATTCCCACAGGTGCTCTGTCCCAGGGAGATGGGAATTTTTTCAGTAGCCTCTGACTGGGGCTGCTGCCTTTCTTTCAGAGATGGCCTGCCCAGAGAGGAGGAACCTAGAGAGGCAGTATGGCTACAGTGGCTTTGGCGAGCCGTGATGGGCTCCACCTAGTTCGAACTTTCCAGCTGCTTTGTTTACACTATGAGGGGAAAACTGCCTACTCAAGCCTCAGTAATGGCAGACGCCCCTCCCCCCATCAAGCTATAGCATCCCAGGTTGACTTCAGACTGCTGTGCTGGCGGTAAGAATTTCAAGCCAGTGGATCTTAGCTTGCTGGCCTCCATGCGGGTGGGATCTGCTGAGCTACACCACTTGGCTCCCAGTCTTCAATCCCCTTTCCAAGGGAATGAAGGATTCTGTCTTGCTGGTGTTCAAGGCATCACTATGGTATGAAAAAATACTCCTGCAGCTCACTCAGTGTCTGCCCAAAGGGTGGCCCAGTTTTGTGCTTGAAACCCAGGGCCCTGGTGGCATAGGCACCTGAGGGAATCTGGTCTGTAGGTTGCAAAGACTGTGGGAAAAGTGCATTTTGGGTTGGAATGCACCATTCCTTTTGGCACAGTTTCTCACGGCCTCTTTTGGCTAGGGAAGGGAGTTCCCTGACCCCTTGCGCTTCCCAGGTGAGGCAATGCCCCACCCTGCTTTGGCTCTCCCTCCATGAGCTGCACCCACTGTCTAACCACTCCAAGTGAGATGAGTTGGGTTCCTCAGTTGGAAATACAGAAATCACGTGCCTTCTGTGTTGATCTCACTG